TTAATAACACCAAAGATCACACTACAAAAATTTCAAATTTAACTATAAAACATTTTGTAGCAAAAAGTAATAAATTTGTAGAGAATTTTTTTTTGCGATGAAATGAGTTTTGTTGCCTATACCACGTTGGTAAATGTCTTTGGCGAAAAATTTGATATCGTAGCGAAAGATATGTTTTTTTCAATGAAAGTTAAGAAAAACAGATATAGCTATGAAAATATGATTTTGTAATTGAGACATATTTGATAGACTAGAAGCCTACAAATTTTATAATTTGGCTTAATTGGCTTGTGCATCTTGATAATATTATGATGAGACGAATTATTGAAAATACCAATGGTCATACTTTAGAAAATGAAAGGGTATTAAATACAATGAGTTGCATGTCTATTAGAAATGATATTGAGCATCTTGTATCTCCTGTACATACTCAAAATTGTCTAGCTGAATCATTTATAAAGAGATTACCTATAATTCCTAGACCAATGTTGATGAAATCTAAATTTCTTGTATCTGCTTAGGACATGCAATTTTACACGCAACAACATTAATAAAACTCATACCGACAAGCTATCATAACTACTCCCCAATAAAATTAGTGTATAACGAAAAGCCCAAGATTTCATATTTGTGAACTTTTGGGCATGCAATTTATGTGTCAAATGCACCGCTCCAACTTAAAAAAAATAAAAAATAAAGAATCCCCAATAGAGATTGGGGATATATATCGGGTACGAATCACCATCTACTATTAAATATCTTGAACCGCTAACTGGTGATTTATTTACGACTCATTTTGTTGATTTTTATTTTGACGAATCACATTTTCCGGATATTGGAAGAGAAACTAATCAACTGAAAAAGAAATTTATATGGAAAATACCATTTAGTTTCCTTGATCAAAGTGAATTTAAAGTGCAAATAATTGTGCATTTGTAGCGAATTGCAGATTAGCTACCTGATGTTTTTTGTGACACCAGTAGATTCACTAGATTATATATAGCTGTAGAAAAATGCACCTGCTAAAATTTTTATCGCTGAAGGAAAAATACAAAGTGCTAACGAATCAAATGCACACATGAAGCGTGACAGACCCATAGATTACAAAGATTAAAATCCTCAAAAGAAAAGAGGAACAAATGAAAGTGATGAAGATTTGAATGTTAATCAAAATTCTCAAGAAAAAAAAAAGTAGTAACATAGATAAGTTGATCCAGATAAAAATTCTCCTGAAGATAATGAAGTTATTAAAAATTCAATAAACTGTCACTACTGGAAAGCATTAGAACTTAAATGAAATAATTATGGATAATACTTTTCATATAATGTAGCACTTGATCTAATGGAAAATGACCATGATTCAGAACCTAGATCAATTGATAAATATCGCAAAAGAATAGATTGGTCAAAATAGAAAGATGTGATCCATATGAATTAAATTTATTGGCAAAACAAAAAGTTTTTGGACCTATTGTTCAAATACCTGAAGGTGTTAAGTTTGTTGGTTATTTGTTCAAAAACTGAATGAGAACAATGAGATTGTTACATATAAAGCAAGATTTGTGGCCAAAGGTTTTTCACAAATGCCTGAAATTTATTTTAATGAAACATATTCTCTAGCAGTACATGGAATAATATTTTGATATCTTATGAGTTTAGTAGTTCATGAAAATTTGTATATGCGTCTAATGGATGTCGTAACTGCTTATATATAAACCTCATTGGATAGTGATATCTATATGAAAATTTATGAATGATTCAATATTCCTGATGCATACAAAATCAAAGCCAAAACGTATATTATTCTATTAAATTACAAAAATCTTTGTATGGGCTCAAATAATCTGGTCACATATGGTATAATCGTCTCAGTGATTCTGTTTGTCCACGTGTTTTTATAAAGAAGAATAAGAATAATTTTGATCGTAGTTGTTTATGTGGACGATCTAATCTTAATTGGAACTTCCAAAGAGCTCCAAGAAGTAATTGAATATTTCAAAAAAGAAATTTGATATCAAGGAGTTCGGAAAAATGAAATTCTGCCTTGGTTTACAAATTGAACACTTGAAAAATAGAATTTTCATCCATTAGTTTATATATAACCAAAAGATATTAAACGATATTTAATGAATAAAAAAAATTATTAAGTATTTCAATGGTTGTTATAATTTTTCATCCTTTGAAGGATCCTTTTATACCAAAAGAAGAGAATAAAGAAGGGCTTTGTCCTGAAGTACTTTATTTAAGTGCTATTGACGCACTAATGTACATGGCTAATAGAAGACCAGATATAATATTTTTTATAAATTTATTTGCAATATTTAGTGCAATGCAAATACAACGTCATTGAAAAAAAATCAAACATAATTTTAGTTATGTTCAAGGAACTATTTATCTAGGTCTCTTATATTCAAGAGATTTTGACATTAATTGATTGGATATGTAGATGTTAGGTATCTTTTTCTAACCCGCCTAAAATCAAGTTTCAGATTGGCTAAATCATGAATTTGTAGTAGTATTGTGGTATCCTAGAGATCCACTAAATAAACATTAACCGCCACACTTTAAATCATGAAGAAACAATATAAATTCATGAGACTAGTCGAGAGTGTGATTGTTGAGATCAATGGTATATTTTATAGAATTGTCGCTTCAAATATGAAAATGATCATCCTTCTACTATTTTATACGAAAATAATTCATCTTGTATAACTCAACTTAAATGAGGGTATAATAAAACGAAATAGGAGGAAACATTTTTCACCAAAATTCTTATTTACACATGATCTTAAGAAAATTGGTAAAATAGATATGCAGTAGATAGGATCAGATGAGAATTTAACAAGTTTATTGACCAAAGCTTTACCAACCGTAATGTTTGAAAAATTGGTGAAGAACATCGGAATGCATCAGTTACTAGATTACAAGTGGAGTTCACATCAAGGGAGCAATTTTGAAAAACATAAATTACATACCTTTTTTCCTTCATTAGAATTTTTGTCCTACCGGAGTTTTTCCCAAAAATATTTTAACAATGCATATTTATTGCACTTGATAACACCTAAGGAGGTGTATTATAATATACGTATATACGTAAGATGAACAATTAAAATTTGATTGCATAATTTACAAAAAGTAACTATTCAGCTAGGTTGCCACTTATTCAAATAAAGGTATAAGTACAAATACCCTATTTTAATTGGGATTAAATAACATGATTAATAAAAAAATCTCACAATATCATTGAGCTAAAATATATATATATATATCTTTTCAATATTCATACAAATAATGAAAATTAAGGGCATTAGAGAAGTTATTTGCAACCATTCATTTGATTTGAATGGTTCTTGCATTGTTTAAACGGCTCTTGAACTGTATACTCCATTCACTATTCTACTTTGTTTATCTTAGACTTCCAAATCACGTCACATTTTTTTATTTTTGTGTTAAATTCTTTTTAAATTTTGACTATTGGACCTTAAAAATAACAATTGGATTTAAAATTCATTTGGGCTCAACAATCTTTTTGATAATATTTTATCAATTTATTAGTACCTTTGTCTGCCTCTAAGGATTAAATTACCTTCTACGAAATTGTACTTTTAACATTCAAAATATTTTTATATTTGTATAATTTTTTATATAGAGGGAGTATTATTTTTCATCAATTTTGTTAAACCATTGTTGAATCTATAAAATAGTCATATTTGCACAAATCTAATAGAATTCATACCAATTTTTTTTTTTATGAGGTGGGAACTCGCAGCCACTAGGCGAACCATGTATGGCAGGTGAACTGAGGCGTCGGGGGTTTGAACCCATGACCTCACGGTCACAAATCCAACCCTACACCACCAGGTCATCCGTTACGGGACCTCACCCACATGTTTTTGAGAGAGAGCAGCTTTGGGCAACCTTATATATAAGGACATAATAAATTATATATCCAAGTATAGTACAATATGAAATCCCCACATACTGACTCAAAACAATTGGGATATCCTAGTGTAATACAATATGCTGACATTGGAGATGATAATTGGAAAATGATGTATGACCACATCGAATGCAATTCATTTCTGCAATGTACGATTACATTAGTTTCTTGATAATTCTTTTGCCTTACTCCTTCGCTTCCAACCCATATTATTTCCGAACTTCTATAAAAAGTAAGGGCAAAATATCAAACAATCTTACATACTTCTATAACAAATAAATTATTAATTATTTTAATCAACGGAAAAAAGCAAAAGGGAAGATTGAATTGTGACCGGAGTAAACTTTTTGTGTGTTTTGTTTTTTTTAAAAAATTTAATGACACAATATTAGAAGAAAAAAATGCAGTCCAAATTTTGATGCAACTCACGGACTTTTTCGTATTGTCGTGTCTTAGCTTAGGACTAGCTGAAAATTGTATGGCTCATCGAAACATCAAACAAACCAAAATAGCGTTTAGGGCCTTAAACTGGTGTTTTTTTCGGCTTCTTTAAGGTTTTGAGGTTTCTAAATCTATAAATATTTAGTTGTTTCTCATACTGTTAATGCATCCTTACTTTTGTGATTGGCACCTCTATTTAATTTCGATGTAGCCTACATTGTTTGACATGAAATCATTATCATTTTTTGAATTAGAAAACAGACAACATTGATAATCTGAAAATTGTGGTGTGTATATACATGCCCAAAACATTTAGGGGCATTTTTTTGTCTTATACAACCAGTCCATGCATATTAATAGTTCATTAGGAAGCAAACATGGCATATATATATAATAAATAAGAGATGCAACGCGACGCATACATCAAGTATTCCGCACATGATTATTATTGAATTATTGGAAATGATGCATGAGAGGTAACACACAGACACACAAACAAACAAACCTTGCAAACCACATTAAAAATAATTAAAACACACCTGCTGCAGAACTTGAACCCAATGCAAATCAAACCAAATCAAATTATTAAGTGAAAGCAAGCAAGCATAGATCCGATGGATTAGTTGCTTCTAGTGGCCCTTGCATTAGTATTAGTGTTTCTTCCATCGGAATCGCCAGCACCATTAGCAGGCCGATTAAGATTAGGATTGGAATTAGAATTAGAATTTCCAGTGTTGCCTCTGCTATTACCAGTACCGGCGTTGCCAGAATTGCTTGCATTACCAGGAGTAGGATTGTTACCGCGACCTGCATTACCATTACTATTGCTACCCGTGTTGTTTGCATTACCAGGATTGTTACCTTGACCTTGACCTGCATTACTGCCAGTGTTGCCTGGATTACCAGAATTGTTACCTTGACCTTGACCTCGACCTCCATTACTGCCAGTGTTGCCTAGATTACCAGAATTGTTACCTTGACCTTGACCTTGACCGGAATTACTGCCAGTGTTGCCTGGATTACCAGAATTGTTACCTTGACCTTGACCTTGACCTGCATTACTGCCAGTGTTGCCTGGATTACCAGAATTGTTACTTTGACCTTGACCTGCATTACTGCCAGTGTTGCCTGGATTACCAGAATTGTTACCTTGGCCTTGACCTGCATTACTGCCAGTGTTGCCTAGATTACCAGAATTGTTACCTTGACCTTGACCTTGACCTGCATTACTGTCAGTGTTGCCTGGATTACCAGAATTGTTACCTTGACCTTGACCTGCATTACTGCCAGTGTTGCCTGGATTACCAGAATTGTTACCTTGACCTTGACCTGCATTACTGCCAGTGTTGCCTGAATTGCCAGAATTGTTACCTTGACCTTGACCTGCATTACCGCCGGTGTTGTCCGCATTACCAGAATTGTTACCTTGACTTTGACCTTGACCGGCATTACCGCCAGTGTTGGCTGCATTACCAGGATTAGGATTGTTACCCCTTCCACTTCCACTTCCATTTCCACTGTTGCCTCTATCACCAGTGCTATTACCAGGCTGATTGGTAGGAGGAGGATTTCTAACAGGACCATTATCATTACCAGGTGAAGGAGGATTGCTAACAGGTGGAGGATTGGTTGCAGCAGGAGGATTGGTAACAGGAGGAATGGTAACAACAGGTGGATTAGTCGCAGGTGGATTGGTAGCAGCAGGTGGATTGATAACAGGAGGGTTGGTAGCAGCAGGTGGATTGATAACAGGTACATTGGTAGCAGGTGGATTGGTAGCAACAGGAGGATTGCTAACAGGTGGATTGGTAGCAGCAGGAGGATTGATAACAGGAACATTACCATTGCCATTACCATTACCATTACTGGTGTTGCCTCCAGCTGCAGGTCCACCACGGCCACCATCACCATTGGCATCACCATCACCATCACCATCAGGATTGTTGCTGCGGCCGCAGCATTCACCACCAGGACTACCAGTGTTTATATTAACTTCATTCTCTACGTTGCTTTGACTGCCAGCGCTAAAAACTCCATTCCTATTCCCATGGACAGTTGTGCTATGTGCGTCAAGTTGCGGCCGAGCCACTGCCGCCTGGAAACAATGAAGCAACAGCAACAGCAACAGCAAATTAGCACCTGCAGCCATGATCTTCATCTCCGCCATGCACTATTAATTACTATTATATGTATCGTCTTATCTCACCGATTATGTGTGTGCATGCAGAATTATATTTGGGGGGAGTTTTATAGCCACGCGCAGCTGGAACTGGATTGCTAATTAATTAATAATTTAATTTAATTAGTTAATAGTTTGCCTGTGATGGATTAACTAATTAGTATATCAAGTAAATTCTGATTTCACTGGCTTTTCTGTTTGTGCATAGACTGCATCTTTGCTGCGGTATATTGGTGCATCAAAACAAGTAACTATTTGTAGAGATTATTAGATGATTCAGGCAAAAATGGCCCACACCCATCCCACATTTTGATTATAGAGTGATTAAAGAGATCTATGCATTGATGAATTTAGTTAATTAAGTAATGAATTAACTATATCCCATCTCCAGGTAGATTGGATAAGCCGTCATTTTCTATACATTAAGTGACGCTAATCCATGATAATGATAGTTAGAATATGACTGTTAGATCCAATCCAACCCAATCAAACTACAGTTGAAAAAAACTAACGCCATATAAAACTGACATGAAATAATTGAATTAGAATCAAAGATTTTAACCTAATTATATATACAAATCAATACCAACCTGACACGATAATAAATAAGTTGACTTAGGATTTAACCTATTCTACTAAAATGTGATGAGTCTAATTGTGCTTAAAATGAAAGCAATAAATAAAAGCCATAGCTAAAAAGCATTACATCTCTCATAAGAGACACTGAAAGAGTACGGATGCTTTAGGCTAAGTGTTACCCTTTCCTCCTCACACTCAATTCTTGTCTATCCTCGAACGATCAGCATGGGGAGTACAATGTTCGTGTTGATTCGCGTTAACTTGTTAGAATCACCAATCATAGAGAAACTCCCAATAAACTTCCTTAAACGCCGTCCCATTGACTAGAAAACCATCATGATCATTTAAAAATTTTGGATTGTAGATTCACACAATACCAGTGGCTAAGACCTGCTTTACAACATAAGGTCTTATCCGACACGACTTCAGCTCTTTGGGGAATAAGTGCAATCTAGAATTATGGAGCAACACTTTTTCTCGGTTTTTTTTTAAGTTCTTATGTTGAATCATTTTAACATTCTTCTAACTCCATCTCAACACAACCATTAAAAATTTTTCTTTACATAACCTTTCCAAATTCATATCTAGAACACTTGCTCTAAAATGTTTAGGTCTAACAAAGAAGATGTTAGTGCTGATAATATTGGAAAAAGGCTGGAAGAAGAGAATGAAAGTGACGAAAAAGTCATGTGATATGTTATGCAATAATATTTACTTATTTCTAGATATTTTAAATTATTTATTTAATAAAAATAAAAAGCAAAAAATTATGATAGTATTTAATTAACTAGTACTATAATAAATAAAGTGTGGTGTAAATTTTAAAATGATACAAATATATATATATATAATAGAAAAGATCGGTGCATATTGATGTGATTGTGGGTTAAATGAAGGGTTTAATGATTTGGAAAAAATTAAGAGTGGAGTGGAATGCTATTGTGGCATAAAAATAAAAAATAAAAAATAAAAATAAAAATAAACGAAAAAGTAAATATAAATAAATAAGTAAAAGTGGGTGGAGGATTTAGTATCATTTTAGATGCTCCAAGTGTTAAATTCTCATCCATATGTGTCAAGTCAATTCATATGTGTGCTTAAGGGTTTGGATTTTAATTACTCAAATTTTGAATTTGAATAGTTGTTTGATATAATATAAATATAAATTTGTCTAATATATTGAATGTAATAAATCAATAGTGTTGTTAAATTAGAAAAATTAAAAATAAAATGGAAAAATTGTGGCAAAAGCTCGAACTTGATTTTAACAGTCTAAGTTGGGAAATTTCTAAGATATTATAAAGAAAAATAAAAGAACTAAATTACTAAAAAAAGTAAAATGGTGATCCCTAATAAATCTTCCAAAAAGTTTTCATATGATTAAAGATGTTGAATTTGTCCTAAGTTTGGGATATTTTGAAGTGGCGGATGAGCAGTTAAAATTAGTTTAATCAGGTCAACATGTCGTAGGAAACCATGAGCCTTTGATCTGATTTGTTGTACTAAATTGGTTTGAGGTCAAGGCCAATTTTTCGGGTTCTAACAACTCGCCCTTTTAGCAATTTCAAACAATCAAAACCCAATCGGTGCATGAGGGGAAAGAAGTGATGTTTGGATCGGAATTGCTTGAAATAGAGTATTTTCAGTTCTAGAGGCTTGTAGTAGTCATGATGATAACCACCATTGGCGTGTTTAAATAACAAACTTATCTTTTATTGTTTTTTTTTATTGAAAATAAAAATATTTACAAATACTCAGGACATACATGAAAAATCAAAAGATAGTCATCAGGTTACAAGCCACCTGGATCGTCCCTGTTACGAAAGGAATTAGAGATAAACAAAACAAATAAACAGAAAAATGTATGTTCCACTACAAAGGAAACATAAATTTAAAACTTAACCCAAGGCTTCACTTTGATACAAAATATTCATAAGACCATCTCCAACAGGGGATGATTTCCTCCAAATTTGCAAGGTGGGTTACAAATTCTTCCTCCAACCAACCCTGTAAAAATGTCATTTCACCCTATGGAAAATATTTACAAATAATATTATAAATAAAAAATAACATTAATTATGGAAAATGCATAACATTAGATAAGAAATAAACTTAAGAATACAATATTCGATAATCTCGCCTAAATTGTTTGGGCTATTATATCCAGAGAAAGTAATACGAAATAGCTTATTATTTAGTTGATGAAATTTATCCTAAATAGGCCACTCGTGCAAAATATTAGCAACCCAAGTGGCCCGAAGAAAAAATTATTTGAACAGAAACAAGAATCATGCAGGAAAAACTTGGAGCGCCCATTTGGAGTTCTACAAGGACGTTGGGCCAGAAAAATATTTTGCATGATATAATATCCGTATGCATCATCTTGCATAATATGATAATAAAGGAAGAACGTGATCTCTATGCCCCAATATCATAATATCAAGAAGCATCAATTCCAACGGTGGAAAAGACTACAGATCGAGAACACTATCATCAGTTTCTTAAACGATATGTTCGAATTAGAAGTAGAGAAGCTCATTTTGAATTACGCGACGCTTTACTTGAACATATTTGAGAAGTGTATAGTAACTCTACCGATTAGTTATGTTGTACTAATTATGTTTAATCAAATAATATTTTTTTTTTATTTATATTCTATATAAATATTTTAATAATATTAAATTTTAATGTGTTTAATTTAAAACTATATATTATTTTTATAATCAAACAATAAAAATAATAAATATATTTTACCGGTATAATATTTAAATTAATAAAAATATTATTATAAGTTAAATGTGTAAAAAAGTAAAATATTTTGTGTTATTTCCAAATTTTAAAAATTATATAAATAGAATATATAAAGAATAGAGGGGACGGTTGGAGATGAATTAGCATAGGTGCAAAAATAGAGAAATGTACTGTAATTTCTGCAAAAGTAAAATAATAGGTTGAAGATGGCCTAAAAGCAAAAGCCATTGTCTTCTGTGGATAATTTTATCCACAGAAATTTGAGGTCGAGCGAGAAAATTTCCACGTCGCTTTTGTTCCTCGCTTTCCAAATATGATAAACCGTGGCTGCAAAGCCAAAGTGTTGAAGATCGGATCACAAGAAGATTTAAAGTTGATCCATTAGGCTGCCAATTCCAGGGAGTCCAGTCCAATCGGGGCTTGATCCAAGAGCTGATTTCCAACCAGACGCGCTGCGAGAAAGAGCAGCTGAAGAAAAGATGCTGCGACGTTTCCGGTTGGTGCTTACAAAGAAAACAGTGCGGGTCAATGTCGAGAAAGTTCAAGCAATCTTTGGTTGTCAAGTTTCCCAAGGCAGCCATCCATGTGTCACGACCCGAGTCCGTGACCGGAAATGACCGAGCGAAGGAGCCAAAACCCGGAGGCTAGTCCGGAACCTTGTAAATAAAACTAGAACTTGTATGGAGTAGTTGGGGGTTGGTGGATGGTTGGTAGAAGATGGTTGGTGGGGGTTGGTGGAAGATGGTAGGTGGGGGTTGGTAGAAGGTTGGTGGAAGAGGGTAGGTGGGGGTTGGTAGATGGTAGTTGGGAGATATGGACTTGTATAAATAGGTGATTATACTCATTTGTAAATCATCAAGTTGAGAGCAATAACATCTACTTTCCCTTACTACTTCCTCTCTCTACGATTATCGAGTGTTCTTGATCGTGTTCTTGAGTGTTCTTAGAAGTGTCCGAAGAAAGGCTGTACTAGCAACCTCTAAGTGTCGGGAAGTTGCTAGGCCGCACGGAAGGTGTTCGAGGAACAACCAGGCGGTCCGTGACAAGTGGTATCAGAGCTTCGTTCGAACCGAAGTCAGTGAGGGATGGCGAGTGACGGGTCCAACTTGACGAATCTGAACGAGGGTAACAACGAGGGTGTCAATGAAGGGAAGCACCATCGAAAGTGCAAACGCTGCCCTTCTGTGGATACCATAAGTGCTTTTGAGGCGAAGATGGAGCGTATGGAAGAATTCCTCGGAGGGAATTCCGAAAGGATCGACGAGGTCGATCAACGTCTCGACGAGGTCGAGAAGGAGATGCGTGAAGATTTGACGAAGTCTCTCGAGGAGGGACTAAAACAATGTCGCGATGGCACGAAAGAAGTGACGAGGTCACTTGATGCCGAGATGGCCAAGCTCAAGGAGGAGGTGGCAGCGTGTCGCCTCGAGTTGGCCCGACGAGAGAAGGCGGCTATGGTGGAGCCGTCCGTGATGCAAGAGGAGCTTGCAACACTTAGAGCGGCAATTGCGGAATTGCAAGCTCGTGGCCCGACCGGAGGAGTAGCGGTAGCACCTAGAGTGGAGGTGCCACGCCCGGAGTACTACTCGGGAGTTCGGAGAGGTCGGGTAATTGATACATTTATTTTCGATGTGGAGCGTTACTTTAATGCCGTAGGG